AAACAGTGAAAAATGTTGCATATTCCACCCTGAGTGAGTGCTCTCGCAAATGCAGTTTGCTACTAAAATAAATCATTGATCTGTTGTGAATAAAGAGAATTATGAGCGACATGATCATGTCTCTCATTACTTTGCCTGCATATTTAGAGCTTCCGAAAGAAATTATTATGATCCATTTTGTAGTCTGAGTACCTCTTTTGCTGCTCTTTTTTGATGCGTCTCGGGAGAGCAATATGCCTCACAAGGTGAAGAGACGCAATATTGGGGTTTTGACGGATGAATTATTGAGAAAATACTGGAAATTATCCTGTATAGTTTACGTAGTCAAACTACCTAATATTCTTAAAGGAAGGAAAACAGCCAATAAGCTTCGATGGCTGCAGAATGTCAGTCGAATGTGGTACAGGGTGAATCACAAAGAGTTGAGCCCAGGTTACTTACAGTGGCAGAAAGTGCGAGGTGGGCAGTGTTACAAATGCCCATCACTAGCATTTTTCATTTACTGGTACTTAGGGATAAATCATGGGGACCGATAAAGACAGGAAGATTAATTCTCACTGAGAAAGTCTAGTTATTCCAATCAGTCAATAGTTTCGTGTCATATGATCCACCTGAGAGTCAGTTATGTTATAGATTGCAAAGTACAAGGTTATCATAATAGTTGCTACTTATTTTCAAACGACAATAAGTTTTTGATAAGACGCTTCAGGAGAGATTTATTCAGGACGAAATGGAGTTCGCTGCCGTTAATGGCAAAGATATCGTATATTAGTATGAACTTTACACCTTGTCACCCCACTTTGTGTAGGGGTATATATGGATTATTTTTGTAGTCAGAAGGCATATTTTCCTTGAGTAAGTGGCATATAAAGATAGAGGTGAGCGAAAGGCACAGTGTGCCCGCGTGTTTCACCAGGAATATGGGTTGGACACTACGTAAACAGCCAGATTTGTTTGAGTTCAAGCAAGAAAAAGTTTCTTCGGTTTTGAAGGACTCAAACGTGTCAATGAAAATGGATGAAGTGGCAATGTTTCGGAGGAAGGATATTATGGTGTGGCGCTAAATAGGTCGAAACTTTCTAGCTAGTAGCCTAGAAAACCCATTATTGGTATTGTGTTCTGTCAAGACACCTTAATACAACACTTGATAAGGTCAAAAACGTTATCTCCAGTAAACTACTTAATAGCTTATAGTTGCTTTTCGTATGTCCTACTAGACGAGATTGATAAGTTGTTCTGTCACGTGTGATTTTCTGAGTATTTATCGCGTAAGGCCTCAGAGCTAGTCTAGTAAGTCGTAGATTTCGAGGGACACTATCCTTTGGAAGCTGTGCGTATTACTCATGGGCGTTTTTTCTGTTAGGCGGACGATCCAATGGGTTTGTTAGTGGTCGGCAAATAGAGTTTGTACCTATCAACGGACTGGAGGGTGATATCCATAAGAAATTTTTACTATTCTTCCCAACAGAACTTTGTTTTCTCCGCCAGAATACCCTTCTGCAAAAGCGTCCTAGTTAGCTATTCTTAACTTTAAAAACGTGGCATACTCAGTTGATGGATTGGTCGTGCAGAGACATATTAAAACAAGGAGAAAATTTCTTCACATGAGGATATCCAAGACTAACAATTAGGCAACCTTTAACGCTTAATGAAATTGAAATCCAGCTTAAAGTGTTGCTCACTTTGTCGTCACCTGGTATACTGAACTGCACTTTGAATTTGGCTGAAATCTACTTCCTTCAAAGAGGAGAATAAGGAAATTGAAGTCGCAAAACTGACATAAAAAAACTTGTTTCCAAAGTTCCCCTGAAGAATGAGTGACTGAAGCTTACATCCATGCAGAGTCAAACATGCAGTTGTGTCATATTTTCAAACTGTATTCGGAAAATATCACGAGGTCAAAAATAATCGGTAAGACCGTCGCATCTAAACACCAATGTTATAAATCATGGCTAAAAGGCTGCCTGTATTCTCAGAAGCAATCCAGCTAGCCCCTCACAAGCCTAAGGTAGTAAAGAGAGAACTTTTATCACTTGCTAGATATGGTAATAATCCGTTTCTCATGATGATCATTACCAAAAAGGGAACTAATGGTTTGCCAACACACTTCTCACAATAATCTGTTTGACATCCATAAGGTGGATGCTGTTGTAGAGGAGCACCAGGTGGTGGAACAAACCATCGTGTGTTTCTGCTACAACGTAAGGGAGTTAAGTGGTAAACTAGAAGGAACTATAAATATGTGCTTTCAGGTGGATCTAAGGATCATAGTCCTAACTGAAACATGGCTGCCTCCCGACGTCACGGATAAAGAAGCGTGCAAGGAATGCCACTTTTCAGATACTATGGAGTACATAAAAAAGGAGTCGGAATGGTGATATACATTACTTACTTACGCCTGTTACTCCTCGTGAAGGAGCATAGGCCGCTCACCAGCATTTTCCATCCAACCCTGTCCCAAGCAATCCTTTCCAGCTCTTTCCAGTTGTTATACATCTGCTTCTATTCCCCGACGTAATGTGTTCTTTGGCCTTCCTCTTTTCCGCGTCACTTCAGGATTCCAAGTTAGGGCTTGCCTCATGAAGTAGTTTGATGATTTGCGTAATGTATGTCCTATCCATTTCCATAGTCTTCCTAATTTCTTCAGCTGGAAGCTGGTTTGTTCTCTCCCAGAGAAGGCTGTTGCTGATGGTATCCGGCCAATCTACTGTTCAATGCAAAAGTACACAGTGACTTAGTAAAATATAAAAAACATACACCAAATACATCTTTTCGCTGACCTTTACCCTATCCATTGTCCTTCTAACTTCGTCTTTGTTTTCACCCCTCTGCGATTTTCTTTCTGTTTTCTTCGATTTATTATTCTGCTACAAGGGATTCGTCTCTCGATCGGTACAACTTACCACATATATTCGTCAGCATAAGTAGCCTAAACCTCAGTCCTAACACTCGAAATGATGAGATTATACAGACATGTCTGTGGTTTGGCCATAAACTACCAGCTGGGGTCCTCAACACTATATCCCTGCATCTCGACAAGCAGGATATTATTCCTACGGAGTGGTCCCATAAGCAGCCGTCGGAACTTTAGGAGTGGCTGAACATGTGTGTGATACCACCAAAAGAGACAGGGACAAAGAACCTTCAAATGAAAAGTACTTACTAACAAATGGTCAGCTTCTAATTGAGGATGTTCATATCCCTTCACCAGTAGGAAGTAGTCTCCGCGACACAGTCATGTCTGGTGTGAAACCAATAACATTGAAGTCAAGTGCCGAGAAAAGAGAAACAGGCCACCCTACCAAATCTCCAAAAAGACGAGTAGGAAAGATACAGCCCGTTACAGACAAGTTTCATTAAACCCAAAACAATCGAAGGTAATGGGAGATCTGTTTAATGAACAAATGAGGGAACATACGGATAAAAGCTCCAACAGGGGTCCAAGAAAGACAGGTTATGTGCGCCCAATCATTGGTCCGAGATTAACCTAAGCTCCAAAGACGATTTGCAAAAATAGAAAAATGGGCAGTAGACAGTGAGTTAAAACCTAACTTTTTAAAATGTGATGTCATGCCCCACCTCGAAGTCCATAATGTCATTGCACTGCTTCAAGTTAGAAAAATCATGAGTCTCTCAGACCATCTACAGAGACGGGGAATCAAGGGGGTTATAGGGCTAAAACAAAATCTCACGAGGACAGGCTGAGCTACAAGAGAGTAAGAGATTACTTGATAATAGAATATAACATTTTTAGTGTGCTGAGTCACTCGAACAGGAGCTTATTATCAGAACTTCACCGTCACGCTCCACGAGGCAGCCAGCGAAAATTTACGCATCAAAGAGCAAAATCCCAGGTACACTAACACTTGACTCGTTAACAGTTGCTACCATTTATAATGTTCTTTTGGACGAACTGGCCACAGCCTCTTCAGTGGATTGATTCAGGAGGAGTTTCAGCAAACACGCGCCCGCCCGTGGATTACAACTCCCTCCCTAGTCAGCTGTGTCTGATGCGTGTCTCCCGAATTGCCAGTTGTCATTACCGTTTATCAGCACCTACTCTCTATCTCTCTTATTTTCATCTCACTTTCCCCTTTTATTCTTATATTTCGGTCCGCCCATTATGTTTCGATTACTAATAAACTTATTTGTTCGTTTCTTCCGATAATCATTTTCGATTACCATTATGAAGCAAATGTAAACTGTGAAATTGCAGTTTTTCAAAAGGTTTGACATACAGCTGTTCACTGAAGTCTCACTTGAAAGCATGAAAGCAAAACTGAGATGTAAATACTCTGATAGTTTGATTTGAAGCACAAACTAATATGTTGGGTTGTGCACTTTCACGCGCTTCGAATGATGTGACGTGAAAATGATCGGTTAATAACCGATTTAGATGAAGATAATTAGAATAAGTATTTTGTCAACAACCACTTCTTATCTCTCAAATTGGCAGCTACGTTTATCCTCCTAATATATTTAATTAGTCTTCCTATACATTACCAATTAAGTGAATTATTTATTGACTTTCGAAACAATTTCCTTCTCCAAACGCTCGTATTATCAATCTGTTTTTAGCACGTTGCAATATAGCAACTTTCTGCTCGGTGATAAGATAACCTTATTAACCTGAGGCAACCTCGCTCGACTACAAGCTATTACACTGATTAGAATTAGTGCATTCCATTGGCTAGTCTGCAGTAAACTGAACATTACTGGCTGCCCTCAACAATGCCAAAACAACAAGATGCGAGCGCAAACATAAAAATCGGTTTATGAAAGCTTGTGACAAAGATATAAGATATTGAGCAACGATAAGAACGCACAACACAAACAAGTTATATTATTTGCGTTGACGAGCTCTTTCAAAAAATTTTTCCTAACTCAGGCCAAAAGTAGTTGTGTGAAATAGTAATAAAGGGGGAAAGTGTACCCATTTTAAACCTTAAATTGGACTTTGCCAGGGATTGTAACATAGCTTGAAAATAACGCTACAAAATATGTTCAACCAAGGTTATCATATTTTAGCTGAGCTGTTAGTGTATTATCTATTTTCCTAACCTGTTTTCCTATGAAGAACCCTCCTAAAACTGAAAAACATCTCTGGAGTTATTGTTAGCCCATGTGAAAATGATCCACTTAGTTTGTGCTGTAATTGCATAACTGAATTTTAGAATGGCTCGGGATTATTTCTGTTCGAAGTGGTTACTATTTTGGAGGAGTTTTCGATTTCGTCTTATCTCTGCCAGATGATTTTCCATCAACAAAACTGCCGGTGAGTAAATGTTTCAGGGTCGGTATTTAGAAATAAGGATATGTGTTTGTCTGCCCAGTTTACTAACCGTCTACTCACTTCTAATAAACAAATCCCAAGTTTCTGTTATCTTGACGTCATCGCAAAGTTTGCCTATACGGTCTACCGTACAAATCAGTTTCAGCGTGCCCAAGCTTTTTGGGGTTTTGGTGCCATTCCCCCAAAATTTCCTATAGCGGCTCCCTCAAATGGGTCAAATTTTCCTAAAAATTGGGAGTTTATCTACTTGCTCGGGGTATATTCCAATCTTTAATCCTCATAACTGAGGACTAATAAATACTTTGCTCAATGTTTAGTCAGATATCGCGTAAATTTACGGTCTGTGAAAGATTCATGTTTAGCCCATTGGTTAAAATACTGACATGGTCTTCGACATAAAATTTTGACTTTATTAGTTCCTCGTTAATCCGAGTTATTGTTTTGAAGGTGTGAGTTTACATTTGACTGAGTGTTTAATTCCGTTGGTACAGTTAGCGGTCGGCTACTAGTCATTCACTTTTTGTTTGTCATACTTAGGGTTTTAGTTACCTGAAAGCAGGTTATTTTTTGTTTTGAAGTAGGTGATGGCGTTTTGGATTTTTTTACCTGGAGACAGTATTTTCAATCTTCAGTATGTGAATAATTTTGTCTTACTATGTGATGTTACTCATGCCATGCAATTCGTGTTTATTCAGTTGGCAATCAATTTCGAAAGGTGTTGCATGTACCTTGGACCTTTTTAACGTTAGGCACTTCTGGGAGGCCCACGGGAGCTTGTTCCTACGTTTAATTATCGTGTTGTCGTCAGAATTATCCAAAAAGCTTGTACATTTAGGTAGTCGTATGGATGCTGGTGGTGGCGTAACTGATGGTATCAATCTGCTGACATCAAAGGCTGAGGGAGAGAGACTTATGTAAATCTGGGCCATCTTTAGCGCCGTCTTGGTCTTAGTCTGGCTGTTAGAGGTAGGGTCTGCAACGTACTGATGAGTTTGAATGCGGTCGGAAGTATACTTATCCCCCTATAGTTATTGAATAGATTATATAAACCCTTTTTAAAGATGGGGACAACGGTCACTTTATTTTTGGATGTTGCAACACTACTCCCCGAGCCCTTCCAAATAAACTTGAAAGAGGTATGCTGCCATCCTTTAAAAAGAACCTGGCGACTTGTGGTGCTTTAAAGGTTGGAGCTTTTTGCGGTCCTCTGCCGTGTTTCTATGATCAGTCGTCGCTGGTTAGGTAGGGCAAAATAGTCTGATTGATGTTGCTGGGGCAAATCGGTATTTGATGTGTCCTTCATACTCTGCCCATCATGATACGTTTGTTAACTGTACCAATAATTCGCAACTCCAACCTCAATATCGTGGACGAAACTATTCTATTTTTTCGCCACCTCGCTAATTCGACTATAAGCACCAGTTTTGCAGATAAAAGTTTCTGATCTTGACCCAGTGTAATTAATCAAAATACACGGTTTGTCGGTGATACATCAATAAAAAATAACTGGCATGTTTGAAATGACTGATTGTCATTGAAACAAAACACCTTAAAATATATTGAGATTTTATATATAGTGGTCATACTGAATAACAAACTGCAATAGAATCTCAGCCTAATTTATATTTATTTGATTCTCGTAAGTTTTAATTTTAGATTGTAACTCCGCAACATCTTTTCACTAAAGTTTTCATCTAAGGTCAAATATTCAATGGTTGTTAAGTGGTTAAAATACTCAACCCTACTTCACTTGCTTTGGTCTACGCAGATGTTTTATGCTATAGGGTCAGCGTGTTAGCACTGGGCCCAAGTCAGCCTATCCGGTAGTTCTGAATGTGTTCTCACTACGGAAGACTAGTCATCAAACATTCTATTGTTTCCCTTTACAATGGTCAGAATGTATTATCAAATAATCTAATCTGAGAACTGGGATATCCGTCAACCTGATCATAATCCGTTTATGTTATTTCCTTTTAAACCCAACTTTTATGTCTTTTTTCACTACTGTCCTGATTGTATCTCACTTGTGTTGACATAAATCAAGACAAGACTGAACTAGTTACAAGATATCCCAAATAGACAGGAATAACAATTTACACTAAATAAAGTAGAATTTACATTTAAAACGTATAGTATTCCTTTGATTTGTTCACTAGCGTTTAATGATTGAATATAAGCCAGTTGATATATCAGATTTTAGTTTGCACTGAACATTAGACATTAGTCGTGCTGACACCAACTAAATATAAATCTGATTAATAAGACCTTATTTGTTCCCTACGAGGATAGCTTCGTAACTAGGTTAGGGGAATCAGGCCACGCGGGCACTGAATTGTGTGGCTTTCGTGTAGGGATGGGTAAACTAATCAGCTCCATAATTCCACTTAGTTCTATCTTTGGTTCAGGCCATTAACTGGGTCAAATGAGTTGGTTCCTTTCGTCAGTTACGGTCAATTTTATAGTATCCATAGCCTTTGAAAAACAATGATTTAAGGCCGGAACTATAAGCTGTCACTTGGTAAAGGAGTTCATAATTGTATGAAAAGTTAATAAATTGGTGGTTATGTTTTAAAATCGTTTGTATCAGAAAGCAATATCGGACTGCAAGTTGTTTTTGTCGCCAATGTAGGACTATCTTTAGAGTATCTAAATATGCTTTTTTAGTGCTATAAAAAGATTTTTTTCTTAAACTAAGTTACCTAGTGATGTACAGATGTTAGTTCTTCACATATACCTTGGTCAAAAGCTTTTGTAATGCTTTTAGAGATTGGGAGTGTACATTTGTTCTTATGTATCTCGTTATTTTCATTTTAGAAGCTCTATTTATGTAAAGAATTTTATCATCCTCATGTAGACTGGATTACCGGAGAGGTGAGCGTGCACACGGAATTCCCGATATGGAATCCAGACAAGCACCATATTTGGCATATTCTTCATCATTTTAAACGGTTGTTGACTAGTCCAACAAGTATTATTGTTTCATCACTTGCAGAACAAACTGCTTGTATCAAAAACATGAGAGATGTGAAGTATGCTAATCCAGAAGCAGCTAACGCACTGATTCACCATCCGGAAGAATTTGATACTCGGGCTAAAGGATGTGTCACTAAACTCTCTGTATGGACACAGCCATCACAGGATATCCCTTCATTAAAGTAAGTGGTTATACGGGATCTCATATAATTTTGTGTATTGTTTTGATTGGATATACTTTTACTGACAAGCATTACTGCGTCGTTATTGTTACATAAATAGTATATGGTTGTCAGTCAGTCAGTCAGCTACAACGTAGGACCAGGCACATATGTGCATCGGTCCAGGTTGCCATACCGCATCAGCACAACAAGATGAACACCGGATTCATAGCAGTGGTTAGGTCAAAGGTAGTAATATATAAGAGAAAGATTGCATATAGAGATATAGTACAAGAAGAAAGAATTGGTTCGTAGAAAGAAACATATGAAGCGATTTTAATCTCTTAGTTTAAGGGAAGACAGGGAGTGTATACACCGACGCCATTGTGATCGATTCTGAGCCATGTCACCAAGAGTTTCCAACCTTTGGTTACGATAGTCACGCGGACCCCGACCAAGTAGTCTGCATCTACCAACATGGCTCAGACTAGAAGTTAGTGACTTCAAGCACTGATGCCACGTTTTGGTTTGGCCGCCCCTAACTTTCTTTCAACCATACGCAACACTATTCAGTATTGCGCATCGTAGTAAACGGTGTTCAGGCATACGTAACACGTGGCCCAACCATCTCAGTCGATGAAGATTCATAACCTCATCAACTGATTTACCATCATTCCCTAATACCCTGCGTCTAACCTCACTATTACTTACCCGGTGATCCCAGCAGACGCTAGCAATATTTCTAATGCATCTGTGGTCAAATACTAATAGCTTACGAGTGTCTTCTACTCTTAATGGCCATGTTTCGCTGCCGTAAATTAAAACAGAACGGACTGCCGCGTAGTATACTCGTCCTTTTATTGATAGACGGATATCTCGCCTTCGCCATAGGTGACGCAAGTTGGCAAAAGCCAATCGAGCTTTTCGAATCCATGCTGAGATTTCGTCCGATACCAACCCATTAGGGCTGATCAGACTTCCAAGATAAGTGAAGTTGTCAACGCGTTCGACTACTTCACTCCCTATCCTTAGTTCAGGTGTTAACGCAGACCAGTCCTGAAGCAACAACTTGCATTTAGAGGGGGAGAAGCGCATTCCAAACATCCTGGCATTGTTACTCAGTGCTACCAGAAGACTCTGCATTTTGTCAGCGTCTTCACCAAACAGGACTATGTCATCTGCGTATTCTAAGTCGATAAGTGGACCTCCTGGTAGGAGATCAATACCCGAGAACTCAGTCGACGGCGTTGGTGTCGCACTAAGCGCTAGAGCTGAGGCAGCACTAGTCGATTGGATCCCCATTAACAGTCGGTTATGTGCTGTTAGATTAGAAAGTTCCATCAAAGTGAGGAGAAATCGGTGTGAGAAACGATGTCTTTTCGTCATCTCCGCCTATGCCCAGACAGATTGCAGCCCGGATGCAATCAAGGATGAATTTCACCACCAGTTAACTGTTCTTCTCCAGAAAGTGCATTCGACAGATATTCTAGTACTAGCCGGAGACTTGAATGCTCAGGTCGGGCGTCTAGGCACAGAATAGAGTCGTTTAGGTGGCCGATGGGGACTTGTTGGTCGCAGGACAGATAACGGGGACCGTCTACTGCAACTGTGCATAGACCCTCCATGACCGGTGACGACTGATTCGCCAAATGAGGCGGAAGTCCGCAAGGAACTCCAACTCCTGAAACACTACAAATCAACGGGCCCAGATGACTAACCTCCGACTCTTTTTAAAGATGGTGGTGACTTTCGGGCTTAGGAACTGACTGTGTTGTTTACAAAGGTTTGGGAACTAGAAAGTGTACCAACGTCATGGACTGAGTCGACAGTTGTCCCTATCTTTAAAAAGGGTTCACGTCGTTCTTGTAACAACTATCGGGGGATAAGTCTACTTCTGATTGCGTCCAAGCTATTGGCTTCCGTCATACTTCGTAGGTTGTTCAAAACCCGAGAAAGATTGACTCGCGAGGAGCAGGCTGGGTTTCGTTCTGGTCGAGGATGTATTGATCGTATCTTCACCCTCCGCCAACTGTTGGAACACCGCCATACTTATCAAAGGCCAACAATCGTAGTGTTTCTTGACATCAGGGCTGCCTTCGATTCGTTGGACAGGACTGTTCTCTCTGATTGTCTATTGAAGAAGGGTGTGCCTGAGAAGTTTATTAACATCCTAAAGGCCCTATATACAAACACCTCAGGCAGAGTGAGGGCATACAACCACCTCTCTCCATTGTTCCATTCGAGCAGTGGGGTTAGACAGGGTTTCCCAATCTCACCATTCATCTTCAACCTTGCCATCGATGACATTCTGGAAATATCTATGATGGATGTAAGTAATGGCGGTGTGGATCTGTTGCCTGGAGAAAGAATTCTCGACCTTCAGTATGCGGATGATATTGTCTTACTGTGCGATAATGCTCAAGCCATGCAATCTGCATTTAATCAGTTGGCAATCAGTGTCCGTAGGTATGATATGTGCTTCGCACCTTCGAAGTGCAAAGTACTTCTTAAGACTGGAAGGACCCTGATCCTGTACTCACCCTGAATGGTGAGCAGATAGAAGTAGTCGAGAAGTTCGTGTATCTAGGTAGCTGCATAAGTGCTGGTGGGGGTGTGAGTGATGAGATCAATGCACGTATAGTGAAAGCCAGAGCGGCTTATGCCAATCTGGGCTATCTTTGGCGCCTTCGTGATGTCAGTTTGGCTGTAAAAGGTTGGATCTGCAACGCGTCGGTGAGAGCAGTTTTGCTCTATGTTTGTGAAAACTGGCCTCTCCGAGTTGAGAATGTTAGACGACTCTCTGTGTCCGATCATCGTTGTCTCCGAAGGATTGCTGACATCCAGTGGAAACACCATGTTAGTAATGCAGAGGTTCGGCATCATGTGTTCGGGCGCAGAGACGATAATCCAGTTGGTGTCTCCATCTCGAAACATCGACTTCGGTGGCTTGGACATGTTCTCCGAATGTCGTCCCAGAGAATTCCACGTCGTGCATTATTTGCCGACATTGGGAGTGGTTGGAAAAGGTGGAGAGGTGGTCAGTGTATGACATGGTGTCGTGGTATGAAAGAAGACTGCAAAGGACTGTCTTGTGTTGGTCCTTCTCGATTCCCTGGTTGGGGTCCGAGAGATGGTGCAACACAGTGGCTGGAGACATCTGATATGGCTCAGAATAGAAGCCAGTGGCGATGCTGCTGTAACCTTCTTTTACTTTCTTCATAGAAAGTGGTTGTATCTTCCTTGACTAAAAGATTTCTTCTGATTGTACCTTTCGCTTTCCCCAATTATTATTATTATTATTGCACTTACTTACGCCTGTTACTTCTCGTGAAGGAGCATAGGCCGCTCACCAGCATTTTCCATCCAACCCTGTCCCAAGCAATCCTTTCCAGCTCTTTCCAGTTGTTATACATCTGCTTCTATTCCCCGACGTAATGTGTTCTTTGGCCTTCCTCTTTTCCGCGTCACTTCAGGATTCCAAGTTAGGGCTTGCCTCATGAAGTAGTTTGATGATTTGCGTAATGTATGTCCTATCCATTTCCATAGTCTTCCTAATTTCTTCAGCTGGAAGCTGGTTTGTTCTCTCCCAGAGAAGGCTGTTGCTGATGGTATCCGGCCAATGAATGTTGAGTATTTTGCGTAGACAGCTATTTATAAATACTTGTACCTTCTTGATGGTGGTTGTTGTTCTCCATGTTTCAGCCGCGTACAGTAGAACTGTCTTGACGTTGGTATTGAAGATTCTCACTTTGATATTGGTTGAAAGTTGTTTTGAGTTCCATGTGTTCTTCAATTGTAGGAATGTGGCCCTTGCTTTGCCAATTCTCACCTTTATGTCTGCATCTGAACCTCCTTGTTCATCGATGATGCTTCCCAGGTATGTGAAGGATTCTATATCTTCCAGAGTTTCGCCATCAAGAGTGATTGGATTGCTATTCTCCGTTCTGAATTTGAGGACCTTGGTTTTCCCCTTGTATATGTTGAGGCCTACTGATGCAGAGACTGCTGCTACACTGGCTGTCTGTATCTGCATTTGTTCATGTACATGCGATAGGAGGGCCAGGTCATCTGAGAAGTCCAAATCGTTTAATTAATTCTGAGCTGTCCATTGTATGCCATGTTTTCCCTCAGATATCGAGGTCTTCATAATCCAGTCAACCACCAGAAGAAAGAGGAAGGGAGAGAGTAGACAGCCTTGTCTGATTCCGGTCCTTACTTGGAATGCATCTGTCAGCTGTCCTCCATGCACGACCTTGCACTGTAGTCCGTCATATGAGTTCCGGATAATGTTGACAATCTTCTCAGGAACTCCATAGTGTCGAAGAAGTTTCCATAACGTTCTCCTATCCACACTGTCAAATGCCTTTTCATAATCAGTGGAGTTGATGTACGGTGACGAGTTACACTCAACTGATTGTTCGACGATGATCCGTACTGTCGCAATTTGGTCTGTGTACGACCAATCCTTACGGAATCCAGCTTGTTGGTCTCGAAGTTGAGCGTCTACTGCGTCTTTCATCCGGTTCAGCAACACTCTGTTAAAGACTTTCCCTGGTATTGACAGTAGTGTAATGCTTCTGTAGTTTTCACATTTGCTCAGATCTCCTTTCTTTGGAATCTTGATGAGGTGTCTTTCTTTCCAGTTCATCGGCACTTGTTCCTCCTCCCAAATTGTTATGACTTTAAGTTGGGTCGACTTTTACCCTGTGTTATCGATCGATTACAGTGACACGTAAACACGTACGGACGGCCTAGAGTCTCGATTGGTCCCACTTCCCTGTCTAGTCCAGCCTGTTGAGTCCAGAACACAAGTCACAACCTCTGAGATATGAATCATTATATTTCAAACATACTTTGTTTATATACCAATCAAGCATACCATATCGTACCATAAAAAATAGAAAACAATATTTTGTACAATATTCAACAAGTGAACAGATATCGACCAATAGGAAATGTCCATTTAAAGTCCAAGGACACCATTGGACTTAACATGATAATTATTGGTCTATTCCTCCGCATCCACAACACAAATCTTTTTGAATAGAAGGTGAATCGTGTTTGTAGTTACTTCGATGTCTGATTTCAGTGCTTCAGCTGATATATTGTCGGGTCCTGCTGCTTTCCCGCTCTTGGTTTGTCTGATGGCCATTCTGATTTCTTTCGTCGTTGGTGGATTAACATCTATAGGAAGATCTGTGTGTGCTGCTTCGATGTCCGGTGTATTCAAGAACTCTACCCATCTGTCCCGCTGTTGTTGAATTTCAGTGATTGACCTGCCTTCTTTGTCTTTGAACGGTCCCTTTGGTTTACTATATTTCCCCGCTAGTTTCTTCGTTGTATCGTAAAGCTGTTTCATATTTCCTTCTCTTGCAGCTTTTTCTGTTGCCATTGTTAGTTCTTCCACGTATTTCTGCTTGTCGGCTCTAATGCTCTTCTTCACTTGCTTGTTTGCTTCTACGTACTCAGCTTGTGCTTGGACTTTCTCTGCTCGTTTTTGGCTGTTGTTAATTGCTATCTTCTTGGTTTTCTTTTCTTTGATCATGTCCAGTGTTTCTATAGAGATCCATTCCTTATGATGATGCTTCTTTAGGCCTAGAACCTCGACACGTTGAAGTTAATGCTTCTTTGATACCTTTCCGGTTGTCCTCCATGGTGGTTTCTTCTTCCTTCAGTAGATCCTGTAAGGCTTGGAACCTGTTGTTGAGAGTTATCTTGAGTTTATTGAGTTTATCAGTATCTCGAAGGAAGGCTGTATTGAACCTTTGTAGTGCTGTTTGTCCAGTTGTTCAGTTCTTCTTTAGCTTCAGTTTTAAATTGGCTACAACTAGGTGGTGATCTGAAGCTACGTCAGCACCTCTCCTGGTTCTCACATCTTCCATTGTCCTTCGGAATTTTTTGTTGATGCAAATATGATCTATCTGGTTCTCTGAGGTGTGGTCCGGTGAGACCCATGTAGCTTTATGTATACGTTTGTGTGGAAATATTGTGCCTCCTATGACCAATTTGTTGAATGCACACAGATTTGCAAATCTTTCTCTATTTTCGTTTCTCTCACCCAGTCCATGTCGTCCCATGATATCTTCATATCCGGTGTTGTTTATTCCGACTTTTGAGTTTAGATCTCAGAATGATGAGGTCCTTTTTTGGGCACTTCTCTACGATTGACTGTAGCCGCTCGTAGAGTTGATCTTTAATGTCGTCGTTGCTATCATTGGTGGGTGCATAACATTGAATAATATTCATTGTGATCCCCTCCTTCTTTGTTTTGAATGATGCTTTGATGATTCTGGATCCGTGAGATTCCCATCCTACAAGTGCATTTCGTGCTACTTTGGACAGCATTAGAGCGACTCTCTGAGTGTGTGGAGCATTTCCCTCTTCGTGACCGGAGTATAGTAGCATCTCTCCCGTAGCTAGCCTTTTCTGTCCAGCTTGGGTCCAGTGGGTTTCGCTGATTCCCAGTACTGCCAAGCTGTATCTCCTCATTTCCGTTGCTATTAGACTGGTCTTCCCGGTCTCCCACATTGTTCGGACGTTCCATGTACCTATAAAAATTTTTGCTCTGGTTGTTAGAAGGGGCATCGGCCTCGTGGCTTCCGAAGGAACTCGGCTTTCACCATGAGGCGTCATAGTTCCTCTAAACGAAGACCTAACTCTCAGGGCAGAGTTCAAATAGTCTGAATTGTTTTTTCTGGTTAGCGTTTTTTAGCGAGTTAGTTTTCTACGGGATGGGGTCGCTAACCCAGTGCCCAACCCTCCTTTATTTGGGCTTGGGACCGGGAGTAACTGTAGAAGAGCTATAGGCGGAGTTATTATTACACTACCGTATACTAATCTTATCGTTTTCGTTCTTTTTTTTACGCTCCTTACCTTCCTTTTTTCTCTTCGGATTCTCGCTGTTTTGTGTGGCGCATATATATTTGGTGACCCCTTGTATCAATATTTATGTGTTCAAATAAATAAATTTGGAGCGAGGTTTCAGTAGACCTGGGACAGTGTTTTGCGCACTAGAATCGTTGTCCATGGTGACACTTGAGAAGGAAGTCAAAAGGGGAAGTTTCGAGTTAAAAGTCGAGGTAGGGGGAATAATAGGAATTGAAGAGGGAGATCGATCACGAATACAGTGATCTTGAGTAGTTAGAGGTATAAGGGCGGTTGTCATTTCGCAGTTGCCCACACCGTGGAAGGGTTCTTCCGGAGGTACGTGAAAAAGAAATTGGGTTAGAGGTGGTCTTAGTGACCTGAGAACGTGACCGCGGTGCCCAAAGAACAACTGCTTGAGGCCGACTGCGAGCTATTTGGTGAGAAGTGGAAAATTTAATAGGGTTTATAGTTCAATGTGAAAAAGCGATAGCTTGAAAAATAATGATATTATCAGTATGGGATTTTGTGGAGATTGTAGTACTTTAACAGTTGAACTCATAGGTCAATGGAAGCTAAGTTGGACTAACGCCGTTGGATGCCGGCTCAGTGGTTTACAGGCTGTGCGTTCGCGCGCGGGATTGGAGGTCCCTGGGTCCGATTTCCGTGTATGAGGTCGTGGATGCGCAATACTGTGGAGTCCCATAGTAGGGCGAAAAGGCTGTCCAGTGTCTCCAGGTTTCCATTGGTGGTCTGGTTTAGATTAACCCCTAAATTCAGCTGTTAAAATAATAGTATTCTAGACAATTTTTGGGTGACTTCGAAACATACTGGACAGCTTGTTTTAAAATTTTTATTTCTTGTGCATTGAAATCATAAAGCGATCAACGTTAGATCACTATTAAAAACTTGAAAGCACTGCACACCTGTTTCATCCTAGCATGAGACTTTGGCCATACTCATCCACGACTTCGTGCTCGGGATTCGAACTCAAGATCTTTAATCTCGCATTCAAACACCTGAACTCTAGATTAATGGGTTGGTATCCAACGGTATTAATGAATTATTTAGTCAAATCTTGGGATTCATGAGATTGGTATAACTCTCTTCAGATTATATCTACATGAAGTCCTAATTTTCCTTTTTAAGTAAAATAGTGTCATTTAAAAATGTATAAATAATCAGTTGGATGAATTAAACTACTCAACTCATGATTTACTACTAAATAATATAATTGTATGCTTGATAACAGGTTCATAAAAAGTTATTCTATGGAGTTCACGGCTCATCAAACTAATTTGATTAAATGAAAATTGTAAATATATTAAGGTTTTAACAGTGTACTCAGGGAATGGAAGGGTGACGAGTTGCATAAAAGTGTATTGTATTATATAAAAGAAATCTCTTGAGAATTAACTTTTGTTACTGGTCTTATTGTGGTGCATACTACTTATGCTGACAGATATAAGTAGTATGTAGCACCATTTGGAAGTGGAATGCCTGGTAGCACCCGATTAAGAAGATTGAATTGAAGAGAACAGAAAGGGAAACAAAGGGCGGTTGTAATAACGACAGGATTAAAAGAACCGTGAAAGATGTAAAAGATAAATGAAGGAAGATTTGCAAATAATGTATTTAATGTATGGTTTTCATATGTACGAAGGCATTCAGTAATTTTGCATTAAACAATAAATTGGTTTCCACCACCTGAGTTCTCGTTCACTAATGAGATTTTGTGTTTACTAACCATGAATTTTCATTGTTTTATTTTTTATTAGTCTTTCTGGATGGATGAATGACAGTATACTGAGTGATGCACGAGATTTACTGCAGGTAATTGTCAAGATATTTATTCGGAAAATCTTCATTGTCAGTGCTACGAAAAGTGTAGTATTTTTTCACCTTATAGGTTCAGGTCAGTTTCATACGGAGCCGGTGTTCATCCTGGCATTGACTTGGCTAGTATATTATCGGAAATCTTTGACGCATCAATAATGTAAATTATAAGGTTTGATGTAAATCTCACGAACTACTAGAATTTTACAAGGAACTTTGAAGGATGAGTTGATAATGAATGCATCGGATACAAGGCTAGGGTGAACTGTTAGTTCAGCATCGTGAGGACGAAGCAAAAGTCAATATTCTTTTTATTACACTTATAATTACATGTAGGTTATCGTGAGATGTTTCAGCTTCTAGAAGGAACACTTGAAGAAAAGAATACTGTATTCCGTACACTTACCGTTTAGGTGTTGAAGTTTTCCAATATGTAAAGCAACTGCCTAGATAGTTCGAGAGAATTATTGCATAAGTTGCAGTTATCTAGGAAACTTTTGTCTAGTCAGTGAGCTGTGAGTGGTAAGGTGATGAACACTTTCGGTTGATTGTAGGCCATCGACAGAAGCCTTAGTAGTGTAACCTTATGAATTTCTACCCATTGAATAGCATATTGGTGTCCAACAGCCCAATATATACCAAAAGTCTTCATCAATGGCTGGAAGATTCTTTTGGTGAATGGTAGCACTATCCACAAAATTTCTGGCCATTATGAGTAAGCATCCACAAGTTGTGGTTAGGTAATCCCGTTTATCGGGCTGACAAACATAAATATATAAGGTGGACTTAATGAATGGACTATAAATCTTATCTTAAGACGGTACGTTCAAATAACTTCAACAGTCACAAAACACCGCTACTTAAGAACTGTTTATTCGAATCGATTAGGGGAATGTTTATTGTAATGCTACACTAATGTTTACATATCGCAAACTAGTTATCTGTATGTGTTCACAATAAGTTTCCTTATTTGACCGCCTGTGGTCGTTTGCGAAGTACAATATCCATTGCTACTATTTTTTTCATCTACTTCATTTACTGATTCCAAGGTTATTTTTAAAGTCTACACCAATATTCCTAGATATTTCCGCCCTTAAATGTTGGAAGCTGTCAATTCGAAAACATAAACAAGACTACTGGCTAGAAGAGTATTTTTTTACGCTCTAAAATAACATACAAAATATTAACACAAAAACATGAAATGTCGTAAGCTATTGGAGGAAATCAGTTTTTAGGTCACTCACTGTCCAATAATTTAAGACCTGACTGTTAGGCTTAATTACAGACCATCATATCAGAATGGCCTAGTGATTATTGGCATATGAACTTTAATATTATCTAAAACGATAATAAAACTTCCCAATCAAACTATGTAGCTCAGAGAGGATAACATGAAAGATACATGGATTTCTTTTGTTAATACTTCATTTGTCCCTATGATATTGAACAGTATAGGAATGCTAAACAGTGTTTAATTGTATTCAGTTGGGTTTATATGTATCACAGTAATTAACAGGCTGAAGTTTTAACCAATAAGTGCTGGGTTTGAATTTCATTGAAAAGGAATTAATGTGACTGTACATTCATCAGGCAAATCGCTTTATATCCGGTACCAAGTAATGTTAAAGTGGATTTTTACTATTACCGTTATTACCATCATCATTGTATTTCGATGGAAGGAAGTTTGGGACTGAATTGCTGAAATCATATGTAACATTGGTGCAAACCACGATTGATGTGTAACTTAAATTTGACGTTTGGTTTGGATAATTCAATAAAAAGACTAAATTTATCAGAACTGAACTTAATTTTTTAAATTGATTTGATTAATTATTCTAACAAGAAAAAATTAGTAAAAATTACGTGCATATAATTTCTTTGTAAATTAAAAAATCCAGTCATTTCATCGTAAAGAAACTAAAAAAAAGTGGCAACGGTGGTAAGTTTCTTGTCAATCAACATAGATTTCTAATTACACTAGTGATTATTGAACCTGAAAAATAATGAAACATAAAAGTCCACATGAAAATGATTATTCTCCGTCCAGCTAGTTTGATGAATTATTCTAATGCATCATTTCAGTATTGGATTTAGGTGGGTAAACATTGTAATAGGTGTTTACAAATGCAAATAAATAACCGTGATAACTCAATGTACATAGTACGTTCAGTTAATGCTAGACGTCTAATGAGTCTAATATTAATGAATGATTGAACAATTTACACTTCCATAAATTAATAAGAATTAAAGAAAATTTTTGATTCAGGTCATAAACTGATTGATGTGAGACCACCATTAAAGACCTGGAAGCACGAGACGGCTGTCTTGTCCTATGGATATAATATCTTTCAATGACTCTATACTTTACGGTGAATTGTTTTCCATATTCACCTCGTAGTAGGGTTAAAATGGGTAGAAGTTAAATTTTCGGTCAAAAAATGAAATACATATAAGACGTTCCCAAAATAATTTGTCCCATTAATTTTATGTAATTACACTATATGTCATAGTATTGAAACCAGGAGACTGATGACGTGGTTTCTAATTACAGTGATTGAAAGATTGCATTACACTGATAAACGGTGAAAGTCACTGCCGTCGCATTTTCGCTTGGTGGACGAGCATGTTAAAAAGTCTGTTAGGGTCCACATCTTCGTCCATGTTATTATCTCCGTCATTAAACTCTCCACAGTTAATCAACAGCACATCCTCTTGATGAATTGGGGTTGTATTCGAATTCACGTTCACTAGATAATTGTGATGATTAAAGGCTTCGTTTCTTGGCATTTCATCAGCCATAGGAGGATACACTGCTATGGGGAGGCTCAAACGTACTTGATTGCACCCAAGATGGTCTTCCCATAAATTATGTTATGGTTAATATTTTAAGTCGTCTCAAACTGCTGGTCCTGCGTACTCTGAATCCATCAGGAAATTCTCTGCTTACTCAGCTCTATTTCATGGATAGGGAAATAGTTTTCGACAGCCGCACTGAAGAGTTTGTTATAAGATAGCAACCACCTTGGACTAGCAATTTCTGTGCAAACGGCCGTGTTAGTATGTTACCAATGGACAATCAGATGTCAGCACAGCAATCCGTTTTCAGTTTAAAAGTGCCAGGAACAGTTGGTTATGTTGCCGTATATGTTGAAGGTGCCTATTTCTTCAACGACTGTACACATATCGATTGATGTAATCATCTCTGTCATAAGTAGGCGTTGATAACGCTTCAATAACTCATATGCAGCAGGTGTCAGTTTTTCCCCGCAGACGATGAATTTGAATTTTAGATCCAATTATTGGGGTAGTCTGTTGTTTGTTTTTGAACACATGCTTTCATTCAGTTCCCAGCCTACAAAAACAGATTGAAGATTGATATGGGTACGTGAGTATTTCTTGTTAATTTGTGGGGTTTCTGAATTCTGTATTGTCTCCACCAAAGTGGTATTTCATTGTTCTGGGAGTCGAGCAGCTAGCCGGAATGGATTTCACATTTTTGTTTCAATAACAATTGATCTTGTATAGGCTAGATAAGATCCGGCGTCTGATTTTTCAATCATGGGTAGATGATTTCAAAAACTAGAATACAGACTGGTTTAGTATAAAAATTTCTGTTTACCTGTGCACATTTTTAGTTACTGTCATGCGGAAGGACAACTAAACAATCTCCGATTGCACCCTCCACAATTCCATTTAAAGTTAAGGATAGTTCGCTTAGTAACACACTATTTTTATCATGTTTCGAATGAGATATGCACAACATAGAAAGTGATAAAATTTCGGATAAACTTCTGTTGCTCATCTTCTCTTCACACGTCAAGCAAATATTTTAAAATATATTGAGTTTTTTTAGCAGACAGTCATCAGTGTCAAATTGATCAGCTCCCCTCTTTTTGCATTCAACAACACTTTGTTCTCACCCGGAAACCACTTTGGTCATATTGATGTATTATATAACCTAGTTTTCCTCATTATCTTGAGTCCTAATGTGTCTAGTTGACCTTTTATTTACCAGGTATGTATATGATCAAATTGTTCGAAATGTTGAAGAGATCAAAAACAAGGATTCTATCAGAATAGCATGAATTCATTTTATTTCGTTTAGTTTTCGTCAACTGCTTACAACCTTTGATATTTAAAAACAATTACAAAATGGGTTTAAATTACTTACACGAAAGTTTAGTTGGAAGTTATTTTGAAGACACATCAGTATAGTATAAGAAGTGTGTAAATAGATGTGGTATAAATGTTGTAAATATATATGTAAAACAACATTCTACAACGCTGATTGTAACATGAGTTCAAAGAGCCAGAAACAAGTGATTACACGATGAGTGAACGCTGTTAGGAATAAAATGAGTAAAGCCTAGTTAATAAAATGGGATTACTAATGTGCAAGACAGACTAACTATAAAAAATCATGTAGTTAATGCAGGAAAGATTTCTAAAAAATTGTTTAGAAGCAACAGATATTTATAGCATTTTTAGCAACTATCCTCCGATACTATCTAGTACTATAAACAGATGTCAGCTATTTAGAAGTCCGTCCTCCCTGCATAGTAATACATCACTGTGCATATTCACCACTATTTTCTTTGTTTAGTTCATGGCTTCCTGAAGACTACTTCTTGTCATATAACATGAAACTAATTTCTTGTTACTATGGTTTTCTGTAAACATTGTATTTTATTTTGTAAGTTGTTTATGTTTCTTAAATGCCATCACTTTATTTTCTTTAAACTGGAAATAGAGATTCAAAGATTCCAATGATGATGAGGAAAAATTTGTAAGTCAAGGGTTTTCTTGGATCGATCCAAAAAGTATGTCGATATTTTCTAGTGAAACACCTGTTAAACCGAATTCTTCGACATAAACATAGAAGTTTACTATTTCTTATGATACTTAGATTCTTTTTTCATTTTTTGTAGACAGTTTTGTATATTATGAACGATGTAGATTAAACTATCAAACGTTTTCTCCCTCTACCAACGCTATAATTACGATATACAGCATTTGGATGCCAATCTTACCATTGCTATCGATGTTATTTTCTACTTCTGTTTATTGTAATGCCTTATTCCTTTTAATGACTATATTGCTGTTTTTTTCTAACATTATAGCTACGTATATTGAATTATCATTTGGGCGTTTGACTTTTAATCGTAGGGCTATAAGTTCAAGGTTCTTCTTCCTATCATACGCTTCTACAGACTATTGGTTAAAATGTTTCCAATTTCATTATGTCGTTTTTCTGACTATAGAAAACATTTGTCAAGTTGGTTTTTGTCTCATACACCATTGTCGAAACAAATGACTAGCGTAAATATTTAAGATACTGAAAAAGCAATAACAACTAAACTACTAACTTTTAGACTATCTTTCCCGGTCATTTATTTACATTATATGGTAGCAGATATAAATTAGCTGTAAATTTTTCATCTTTTTACTATCGTGCGTAGAATAGATTGGATTGTTTCTCTTTACTGAATGTCATGGCTTATATATGTTGACTTGTAGTGAACATACTTACACCTGTTACCCCTCGCGGAGGAGCTTGGTCCGCTGACAAGAATAATTGTTTCTTTCTGGTTAGCGCTCTTTATGAAGGTTGTTTTCTACGGGGTTGAGTTGCTGAACCCTCTTCTATCCCGGCTTGGGACCGGCAGTAACTACAGTCGTAGTTATAGTATTTATATACCCTTGTATAATTGTGAACAATAGTATTTTAGTCCTTCTATTGGAGATTAGTATAAAATTACTCAATATTACTGTTTCCAAAAACTAGAGATTCATAATTGGTTGGAAAAACGTTTATACTTTGATTGGTCGCTATAGTTGAATTCTGTCTTTTTTTTTAACAAAAACGACTTTGATTTCTACACCCTTACTCGTAAACAATGTCAAGCAAACATTGTAATTGGTAACTATCCGTTTCTCAACATCCAGTGTTTGTTATTCGTTAAGTTGGTAAGCGCCGCGCGTAACAGTTAACTTCGAACTTTTGCAGTATTTGTGTTGGAATGCTCTAAAAGCAGACAGATATGGATAAGTTCAGATGCCTGAAATAATATCCGATAGAAATTACGATGTAGTGATTTGTGTTCAAATGATCGGTATTCGAGAATAAAATCCCCAAACTTTGAAAGAACAAGTATCTTACGTTTCGCTACGGTTTTCGCAGAATTCAAACTACATCACTTTGGATTTAACATCGATTTTAGAGTGAAATTCTACATTGGTGAGATCAACTAGGAATCACCCAACCAGTTATTAATGGTCACATTTTTTGTAATTTCCCCTGATAAATTTTATTCATTTTAATCCATGATTTGATTGGTTCACTGACTGTTGCTAACATGAACTGTCTTATTACGGTGTCGATTAGTATTCAGATTAGGATCGCTAGCTCAATCGATACATACAACTAACCAACTATGATTATAATTAGCTCTTATGTTTTAATAACAACCTTTGTTAACATCCAAATGCTCCATTGTTATAGGTTTGTTGAAATACTAACCATTAGCAAGTGTATCTGGCAGTCATTTTACCACATTGTTTGCAGATTCTGGAATTGGTTAATTCACTGATGTTGTTGGGTTTTCAATAACTGTTCCATTTTTTTGTTAGCATTCTGTTTTAGCGACTGTCATACTGATAATTCTTGTGTTAATCGGTTGCTTTCGTTTTATCGCACTGGGAAAGCAATATGTTCCCTGCTTGTTGGGAATGTTTATCATTGTTAGCAAGCAATTAGTTGTACGATTCTTAAATTCTTTTTTAATTTTATCTTATAGTTTGAATGTTAACTTTTGGGCAAACTGAGTTTCTCTATCCCTTTCCTTTAGATAGAACATTGTTCCTTACTTGATGGGATACTTTTTGTGTTTAACAAATAATCAGTATGTATTCTTTACGATTTGTTCGCTGGATGTCTCATAGTTTGTTTGTACTTGGTGTTGTTGTAATTGGTGACTGTGCTTTTTGGAGAAAGGATCGTTCAATCATATTTTATTTATTTTGATAGTATTAATCTCAAACTTCTAGAATTTACATTAGTCTCACTGCCGAAGGCTAATATCTTTTTTACGTATCGTGGCATATTTTCTGATTCCGTAAGATCGGACAACAATACCAGAGACATAAGTCGAAATATCCTGTTTAGCATCGTACACACTCGTTTACCCAGTTCGCGGTAATGAGTACCGGAACAAAATTTGCCAAGTGTGAGAATGGTTTTTGGATACTTGTATTTCACACCTGACTTCCAATTTTACGTGACTATTAATTTGGACATTTTTAGTCTGTTAAACTGCACTATACCCATGCTCGTGGGTTAGAATCTCGTTTTAAAATTTAGAAGCTAGATAAATATGGTAATGTTCGTGGTCGAAATGGTGCACACAAATAACAACTAAGTGTTTGTTTGTAATTCCTAGTAAACAGGATGTTATTTACCAATCAGAAAACACTTTGTTTTATCAGGTGATACAAAATCGATTCTATGTAAAAAGCACGAAGGCAGAAGTTATAAAATTCGTTTGATTGGATCTATTAACAACATATTTTTGACGTATATGATGTAAGTGACTTAGGAAATTTGGACATGCTCACAATCATTCGCTAGGCATCTATTATTCCCTCGCTAATAATCGGTAGTGTTTTGCTTAAGGATATAAATTTAGACAACGTGAGGCAACAAAATATTCTTTTGCATGGAAGATTTGATTACTCGATAGATGCACTGTAATTCCGTGAGAAAGTTATTTAGTTATCACTGGATATTTTGGTCAGCATAGTTGCTCATGTTAAAATTTTCGTTTATATTGTTTGGGGAGGATAATTTGGAGTTTTCTTAAAACTCTGTCAATAACTTGTAGTGACCCACTTTTGTGAAGAGAATGCGATTGGTATAATGGAAGCAATTATTATTATAACCAATTGTCCCAGTGATTGTTTTACTGTACTTGCTTGTTTAGATGTATCAGGAAAGACAACGCCGTTGTTTGTGACCTTACACGAACTCTCGTACGCTCAGCAGTCTCACCTGTGGATTTTGGCACGATCTCGGTATTATTTTGATGTCACGAGATTGCCAACAAACACATCATACTTCAACTGCCTTCTGATATTTGGCATGCGGAGGTGTCAAACCTGGTAACTGGCACGTAGACTTCCTGCAGTGAGGATCATAGTCAATAGCGACTCGACGACTACTAGTCTTTTCTGGTACACAGACAGACAAGTACAGTAAAACAATCACTGGAACAATTGATTATAATAGTAATTGTTTCCATTATGCCAATCGCGTTTTCTTCATTAAAGTAGGTCATTACAGGAGCCTCCCGCTAGAAAGGGTTTACACTTTCGATACGTAGCGATTCCGTTTGTGGGCCTGGTCGGCAAGCGTAAGATTGTAGGATGAAGTGCTTGACAAACAGGGAGTGGTCGCCGATCCTCGGGTTGTCTCCGAAGAATTTTTGTGTAGGATAGTATCAGGAGTAACATGCTATATTTGTTGCTCCAGTTGGCGTACCACACCAGAGGGGTTTGTGTCCAGAATCTGAGGGCTGTGGACGAGGAAACGCTGCAGACGTAGGATGGAGCCAGAAGCGGCTATAATGACCAATTGCGAGACCAAACATATGCCAGATAGATTCGAAACCAGAATATCGACTGAAAGCGATGACAAGGGCGTCGTTGATAAGGCCAGCTTTCTCCGAAATTGGCTGGATTCGACGGTAACAACAGGGCGACGGTCGGAGGCATGGGCCCAGGATAAAAAATCAAAAAAGAGAAAAGGTGTGGTATAGGGCTAGATCCCTATACCGTATCTGTTATTGATTTAGAGGTTAGTCGCGATAAGTAGGCGCGCTCGGCGACCAGAACGTGAGACTGAGGTCTCGTCTGTAGATGCTGCAGGTGCCACGTGCTCTTGACTAGGTCGTGGGAGTGAGGTTTCTGACGTATCTAGCGTGAGGTAGATGTGCGAATCCCGCTAGTAGGTTTGATGGGTCTAGCATTGAGTCTCAACTTGTCAGGTAGAGTGCTGTCATGGACGTGTGCGAGCTTGAGACGGTCAATGCTAACGACCTCGATGCGGCCATGTCGATCAACCTTGAGGGTCTTTTCGTGACGAAAAATCATGTGAAAAGGTCCTTCGTAAGGCTGTTGCAAAAGTTTGCATACCGATTGTACTCGTATGAAAACATGTGAACAGGTAGATAACTCTCGAGGGAGAGCGACCTGTCGATGTTGTATTCGAGTTGACACCGGAGGCGGTGTTCGCATAAATTTAGAAAGTCGTTGGGCGTAGTCTGATTTACCGGAATCGTTACTGCTCCGTAGTGTGAAAAATTCCCCAAGCAGACGAATGGTCGTGCCGTATACAAATTCGGCGGCGGAACATTGAGTATCTAGCCTTAAGCTCGTTCTAATGTCTAAGACGGCGAGTGGTAAGGTTCCGTACCAATTGATGATTTCGTGTGCTCGAAGAACACTTTTAAGTTGGCGTTGACACGTTCAACTAGACCACTTGATGCTGGGTGGTTGGCGGTAGTTCGTATGCGTTCCATACCGAGCAGCTGTGTCAACGAGGAGAATAATTCGGACTCTTCTATGAAGCGGTAAGCAACTGTCTCCGCTGTAATAGACGTGATAGGGATAGCTTCGGGCCATCTTATGAAACAATTGATGCACGTGAGTATGTGATCATACCCGTGCGATGGTGGCAGTGGTCCCACAATGTCTGTATGGACGTGATCGAAGCGAGCACCAGGCGTAGTGAACGCAGCTACGTGCCTGCGCACTTTTGATGGTTGACATTGTAAGCATTGCTTTACCGACATACGGACATCTTTATTCATGGACGGC